ATATTTTTATTTGAAATAGTCTGGAGACTTATTCAATATAGATGTATTCATTCACACTTGTCAGGCCTAACAATGAGATTTAGAGGTTTCATCCCAGCAGAGCCTGCTGCTTTCCAGGAAAATCTCTCTGGCTTTGGCTTCAGGGCCTGTTTGTTTCCATGCGAATGCCCCCCCCCTGCCAGGAACAGCTGGCCTCCCTTAAAGCCCACCCAGGTCAAGGCAGAACAGCCTCCCAATCCCCCCGAAGACTCAGTTATCAACAACAGGCTCCCCTTTCTGAATTGCCCAGGCAAATGAACAAAGAGGTAGCCTCCCACCAACACAATCTGGCATCCTCCAGACATCTTGGACTACAGCTCCCAGCATCCACAGCCAGGACGGCTCTGCAAGCTGGGAAGGATGAGGGGCATTAGAGCTCAACACTGCACCCTTCAAGTGTCCTGATTTGGAATTAACCCTTTTGACCTATGCAAAGACCTTTGGTCCAATGCAATAAACTTGACCCTTTTGCCAGTCCACTTTCCCCACAGCTTTTAAAATGTCCCAGTTTCTCTCCCCTCCTCCCACTTTTCCTCTCTGTCCTCAGATGACCTGAATTGCTGCAAACTGTGTTCAAAGTGCAAAAGTCATTTGCATGCTATTAACTCAGTGCAGGGGGGGGGGGAAGGAGGGGGTGCCTTGTTCTTCCCAGTAGACCGAAGCAAAATCAAAATGCTGCAGCCTCTCTTAGTTCCTGTGTTCTTCCTCATTGATAACATTTGCCATCTTGACCCCACTCGGATGTTGCTTGACTATACCTGTCCTGGTTTTCATATGTGAAATGGGGAGGCCATGCAACACATCTGAAAAGCACTAAGCTGCAAAGTGTGTCATTTAGGGTTGGATGGGTAAAGGGTGGTCCAGACCCTCAAAGCTCTTCTTGTGTCCCTTGGCACCCACAAAGCCCCCGGAAACCCCCAAAGAAGTATAGTGTCCAGATCAGGAGAAGTCATAGTGCCACTGTATTCTGCTTTGGTCAGACCTCACCTGGAATAATCCTGTGTCCAGTTCTGGGCAGCAAAATTCAAAAAGGATGTTGAGAAACTGGAGCATGTCCAGAGGAGGGAGA